ATGGGTGGATACAAGTAATAGTTGCATCCTAGAGAATGGAGAAGCGAGGATATAAGAAATAAAAAAAGGCTGAGGGCATTCAAGAACAGAGGAAAGAAAGCTAGTGGGAAATGACATTGGCATTTCTTTGATGCATAATGGATTCTTCTCATTTGACTGAACACTGAACTCTTTTGAAAAGAGTGACTCTCTTTAATCTTTCTAAATCTCTCTAAATAATCTATAAATGCACCACTGGGAATTCCAGAAGACTGATCCCTTAATACAGGCTAAGAACCTTTGTGAAAACTGAATGTGTGAAAATTACATCATTTAAAGTAATTTTAACAAAGTCATAGTTACAGTCATCGCTAACATTATAGTAACATATTATGATTATCTACTTATATTTCTGCCCTGTCTCATAGGCTGTGAGACCCTCAAAGGTTTCTAGTCCTAGTGTCCTGCATGATACCTGACACATACTACACAGTTGATATATATATTTCTGAATAAATATGAATGCAAGGTCCCTTTTAGAACTCAAGATTTTACAATAGAAATATAAGAGAAACATAATAAGAGACTTACAGTTGTACATGTAGAAATATCCCCAGTCTAATAGTCAACATTGGCAATAATGCGTGTTATACTTAAAATATAATTTAATACAGCAAAGAGAATTAATCAGCTAAAATCACACACAATAATACAGATGAATGTCAATAATACATTAGTGAAGGAAATCATATAAAACAATGCTTAGTCCATTTTGTGCTGCTATAACAGAATACTTGAGACTAGATAACTGATAAAGAACAGAGATTTGTTTTTATCAGTTCTGGAACCTGGGAAGCCCAAGGTCAAGGAGCCAATACATTGTGAGGGCCTTTTTGTTTGTTTAGTCATCCTGTGGCAAAAGGTAGGAAGGCAAGAGGATACGTGTACCAGAAAAAGGGAAAGGGGCAAAACTCATTCTTACCAGAAATCCACTCTCCTAATACCTGACTCTTTTCCTATGATAATGGCATGAATCCACTCAAGAGAGCAACGTCCTCATGACCTGATCACTTCCTGAAGGTCACAACTCTCAACACAGTTGCACTGAGTCACACAGTTGTGCAAACTTCAGGGACACATTCACAGCATTGCAAATGCTTACTCTATGATTTAAATCATATGAAATTTTAAGTTCACATTCATGCATACTTGTCGAAGTCTGGACAACACCTTTGGAGGGAATGAGGAAGAAGGAACAGAAGGAGACACAGGAGGGACGTTTCAGGGACTGAATATGCTCTGTGGCTTTCCTGGCTCCTGTTCACAGTGACATGCTCAGTAGGAGATCATTCATTGAGTTCTATGCGTATGATCCGTGCATTCATTCGTATGATAGCTACATTTCCAGTAAGATGTTTACGAAATGATCATGCTACATGATAGACATATAGAAATATGAAACAAGGTTTCCATGTGAAGTGTGACTATTGCACCGAGCAAGTACTGTAGTTGAAACCACACTAATCAACCTACAAAAGGAGAGTAAAAGAAAGAAGTGAGGAGGATTCACAAAGTGTGGGAATCCTCATTGATTTATAGGCTAAAGAATCAAGGAGTTGGTGCAAAATATCTATACAGACTCAAGACTTCTGCTAAAATCATTATAAAATTTCTTTTGTTTAATTTCATAGCATTTTACTTCAAGAAAGTTCAGATGTTACAGAGACGCCATTAAGGCTGGTGCAAATCATATTGTACCATTATAGTGCAAGAAATTGTCACAAAAATTTGCCCACATAATGATCTGGGGTGGGGAGACAGTCAAACCACAGTATCAAGTAAGCAAAACTCTTCTCTAAGGAGGGCTCTGAGAAGCCACCAATCCTAGTAATTAAATGTTCCACATGAATAAAACAGAAGAGTTGACTAAGCCATCCACTAAGGTGTCTGAAAGTTCTGGGTTCCTATGCAACTTCTGTCACTGTGACTTTGGTCAAATTGTTTGATATTTCTGAGTTTCATTTTTTCTCATCTGTAAAGTAGGGGTAATAAAATGTAGACTTTAAAAAAGAGAGTACTTCCTATGTGATGTTTTACCTGTATTATCTGATTCATCCTCACAGCAGCTAGATACTTTTATTGTCCCATTTTATGGATGTGAAAATGGAGGTTCAAAGAGAAAGAACTCATCACTCTGAAGTGACACAGCTGTTAAGTGGTAGTAGAGCCATAATGGGAACTCAAGACAGTTTGACTACCAAAGTTTTGCTTTGAACAATGTTAAATAGTTTACCTGATGATAAACAGTTCACCTAAATGAACTGATTACTTAATAGTTCATGGCATATTTTGAGTATTTCATTATGGTAATTATCAAAACAAAGGTCAAGTGGAATCCAAATCCCAAATCTGAGGTTAAAGTGGCTTATATAGTATCATTTAGAGCCAAGTTGAAAGCTCAGGCACACTCAGTCTCAGAGAATTTCTAAACAAAAAGCAAGTTCTCAGAGGAGAGTAGAGATTCCCAGGGTGCCAGAAATAATTTATGTGTACAAGAGTTACCTTCTACAGTGTGGGAACAGACCAGAGGATAGGATAACAAGAAAGAACTGGAGAAAGTCCCGACCGCAGAGGAAGGGAGCTGCCAACGCCCACTGGGTGCTCCTCTGTCCTTGGCAACTGTTGGGGTTGCAGCCCTGTGACTTCAGAGCTGAGGAAATGATGGCCGGGAGGGCAAGGGGAATTCAGAGCTTTACAACCACACGGACCCAGCCTCCTAGACCCATAGCCATGGGACATCCATTTTGCCCAGTGCTAGGTAACGCCAGTATCACTTTTCATTCCAGTATCATCCCCCTCCCTAGACCTGAGAGGCTGGAAAATCTTGTCTCTTTTGTTCCCACCCCACCCCCATTGTAAATGGTCTTGTGTAAGTATTCAAACATTACTCATATGTGTTACATGAAAAATGGCATGAAATAAGGATAAATATATTAGGGACTAGAATGGAAAACAGGCTTTTTTTTTTTTTTTTTTAGATAGAACATAGAACCTTAAAGAAACTTTCAAAATCTGTTAAGGGCTTTCAACTTGTCTCCAGAGATCAAAGTTTAGAGTTCCAAATTCACATTTTAGCATTTAGGAATAATTGGATGAAAAATTTCAAAAGTCCTTAAGACACCATACCACGCTGCCTTTTCCTCTCCTCTTACCTCCTTCTTTTATGCTATAATTATGGGCCAGAACTGCCCAGAGACAGCAAGAATATGCTGAAGAAAATTACTATACCTTAGATGTCTCAGTGTGAATACAGGCCTAGGTTAACTTTAACTTTGAATTTACATTGTTTGCTTATTAGCTCTTTTGTTCGTTTGTTTTTGTTTTTGTACCGGGGATTGCTTATTAGCTCTTGATTGTACACCTTCAGAAGGGTTTTACGGGGCTTTTAAAAGAAATGCTTTTAAAATTTTTGGTAAAATGTACAAAACATAAATTTCTATTTTAAGTATATAATTCAGCAACATAGGTACCTTCACAGTGCTGTACAACCATCACCACTGTGCTTACACAGAACTTTTTCACCATCCCAAAATGTAACTCCACAACCTTTAAGCACCAAATCCTGGCCCCTTCTCACCTCAACTGACAATCACCATTTCACGCTCTGTCTCCAGGAATTTGACTCAGGGAGGCCCCTTTGATAAGTACAATATTTGTACTTTATGTTTGATTTATTTAATCTGCATGTCTTCACGGTTTATCATGTAGCATGTGTCAGAACGTCCTTCCTGTTTTGAAGCTGTATTTTTAAAAAGTTTATTTGGTTAGCTTATGAATAAGCAGGGAACTAGAGGAAGAGCCTGAGACAGAGTTGGGTGCTTAGCCAGGTTCATAAGAATGAAAATGATAGACAGTGAACTAGAACTTTGGACCAAAGTTCTAGAACTTCAGGCAACAGGGAGTGCAATCTCTTCCCTACTAAAAGGAGTTGCAACCCTTCTCTACTAAACTCCTGAATTTCTAGGAACTTAAAATGAAAAACAAAACAAAACTAGTTTTTCTTTAAAATCTCAATTTCCTGGCCAGATTTGGTGGCTCATGCCTATAGTTCCAGCTCTTGGGAGGCTAAAACAGGAGGATCGCCATGAGTTCAAGGCTGGCCCAGGTTACATAGCATAGGAAGACCTTGTCTCAAAACCAAACCAAACCAAACCAAACCCTTAGCTTCTTTTGAACCCTACATGCTGAGTAAGCAGGTTAGAGAATCTGAATTTCAGTTTGTTGTAAAATTCACACTGTTACCTGTAATAAGGGGACACTAAGCAATTGAGGAATCTTCATGCTCTGCTTACCCATACAAATTTCTGGATGGAGGAGCCATGTGTTAATTCCACTTTTCAGATTCCCCTCCTGAAAAAAAACAGAAGCCTTTTTATTTTCTTCTTGTTTCTAATGAAACTCTCTTAACTTCCTCCTTTTGGTTTTTCACTTCATTCTTCCATTTTCATGAAATCATGAGTTTGATTTGTACAGAATTAATTGTTTTACTACTATAAATAGGGTGGACAAATATCTGTTCAAGTCCCTGCTTTCAATTCTTCTGGGTATATACCCAAACATGAAACTGCTGAATCATATGGAAAGTCTATGTATAATTTTTTGAGGTGCTATCCCTGGCATTGTTTTTCTGTTATATTTCAGAGTCAGATATCATTTATTTAAACAGCTTATTTTGTCTTTCCAATGGACTAACCTACATTTATCCTAAACGATCTCTCACTTGCTTATTTCCCCTTTAATTTAACAAGGTTATCTAGAAATACGATCTTATTGTTTCCTTCCAAAACATAAGCATTAGGTTTGTTTGGAACAAACTGTTATTTCCCAAGTTATATTTTTTGATGGGAATAAAAGCAGTCTTGGTAACTATTACCAAGTTACTAGTCTGGTATGTATCCAGTGATATACTAAAAAAAGAAGTTCATAAACATCCAAATTACTTTTTTGGGAACATCCTTGACATGCAAAGAGTAGCAGAAGTCAGGAATCCAGCTCTTCAGTACCTGAATATCTCCATCTCCTGCCACACGAATGGTGAGGATCAGGCAGACTCTATCTCTCCTTCACTTTCATCTTTCTTCTTGACATAAGAACTATGAGTATACCATGCCACTGGGCTTCCTGTGTCAAAGTGAGAGCTTCTGCTCTCACTGGAAGACTGAATCCCTTTAGACACATAAAAGTTTCAGTCAGAATACTATATGGTTTTGCATACAGAACCAATACTCTTCCACATCTACTCAGCAAATCCTGTCCATTCCAGCTCCTCACCACCACAAAGTCAATTACTTCTTCCTATTTCCTCTACCTTGGCTCAGAATCATATCTGGACCATTGCAATGAGCTCTAAAATGGTCTCTTCCATCCTTCACACCACAAGGGAACACAATTCTCATCATCTCAGTGTGTCACCAAAGTTCCAAAATAACAACGCTCAAGAGAGAACTTTAACCACTTCATTTTTTTCCTGGATCTACATCTTTTTGACATATTTTTGTTATTAATTGCCTTTTATGTCTGCATGGCTCTTGTTTGTCTAAGACAGGAGTGTTACCAGGTTTTGGGGTGTTGGAATCTCCTTCTAGAGGTGGTTTCTAAGTTCTTTCTGCCTTGAGAAAAAAAAATTGATAAAGAAAATGGACAAGCACAAAAGGTAGGAAATGTAGCAAAAGTAGGAAAAGAAATATGGTCTACAGAGCGGGTTTGAGCCAAGTTAAAACAGGAAAACAAGTACACTCTAGAGGGAAGAGAATGGATCACCATCCAAGAGAGACCACGGTGGCCCAGAGATCAGTGGTGACCTCCCATTGTTCAGGCTGATGTCAGGCCTAAGCCATCCTATGGAAAACCTGCTTAAGGTCTCTGAGAGGAACTGATGGACATTCTTTTTCTTTATTTTTTTGGTACTGGGGATCGAACTCAGGACTTTGTGCCCAAGTAGTGATACCACTGAGCTAAATCCCCAGCCCTATAGAGAGGAATGGAAAACAGCATTCTCAGATTGGGTCCGTGTACAGGGTACACAGGGCTTTGGGGACTATTCTGTGCATGTATCCTGAGATTTCATAATGAACAGGTCACACTTCCTTCTCCAACCAGTCTGCCACTCTCTAGCCCTCATCTCTTGCCTCAGGAGACCAAATATGACTGATACCATTCATAGATCAAGGTCAGCAGTGGAAAAGAAGAAAGTTAAGGGGACTATCTTACAAGACTGATATCTTCCCATAATACCTTTGTCACTCTGGTCAACACTAGTATGGTTGTTGTTGGCTTCTCTTACTCTTCTCCCTTTTTGAATGTGGTGTTGAAGGTAGGGTAGTCAAGGTACTTCTTTCTCAAATTAATCACACTCTCTTCCTTACCACACTTCCTAGCCACCACCTCCTTGATCTGACGATGGGGACTCTTTAACCCTCCCCATATCTAAACCCTAGAATACGACTATGCAACTGCATTTGGCTTTCTGGATGTTTAGAGAAACTTCTTGCTTCATTCATAGTCACGTTCTATGGTCACTAGTCTGAGCCTGTGGTCCCTAAATCTGAAATAAAGAACTTAATCCACCTTTTAAAATACGTTTGCAGGTTTGCTGACTCTTGTCACAGAAAACGAATTTTCAGGACTCATCAGTAAAAGAGACACGAGAAAGATTTATTAGAGGTAGGTATAGGATGCACTTTGGAGTGGAGTACGGGTACTCAGAGAAATAAGGCACAACACAGTTGGGAACTGGGGATCTTTTATGTGTTTTGGGAGGTGGGAGCCTGTGGAATTTAATAATCTATAATCTTGTCTGGCATGGTGGCACACACCTGTAATCCCAGCACTGAGGAGGCCGAGGCAGGGCTATATAGTAAAGTCCAGGTCAGTCTCAACAACACAGTGAGACCCTGTCTCAAAAAACCAAAAAAAAAAAAAAAAAATCTATAATTTTAGTCTTTCTCTAGTGGGAGGGATAGGATGGCTCATCCATAGCGGGGATAATGGTCTATTCATATGGAAAATCCATTTGCAAGTAAAAAGGGAGTGGGCAGCCCCAATCTTAGGTGAAAAGAAGTTGCTCCGTTTTACTGTCTTTTGGAAGAAAGGGGGGAAAAATTGGGCTTATGTCCTGAAGCTGTAGTTTTTAAATTTTTAAAATTTTTATTTTCTTGTCTTTCCACCTAGTTTTTCTTCCATTTTACTTCACTACTTGCCCATCTCTCCCTACATTTCCCCTCATGAAAGTAACAACAAAAACTGTTGCATGTATCCTTAAATTATTTTTTCAGACAAGGCAAAAGTACATTTTATTCAAGTTAGAATTTAGGTGGTCACTTGTCCCCATTTGCCTAGGATATTCCTAGTTTAGCCCTACTGCCCTGTATAATTTTTAAGGGCATTTACCATTTAATCTTAAAAACAATTTCATTTCAAGGAAAAATTATATGCTTACCCTAGATAGTACATCCTGACTATGCTTTTGCCCACATAATTACATTTAATTTACATAACAACTCTGCAAAGTGGAAAGAAAAAAAAAATTTATCTCTAATAAAGGAGGAAGGGCCAGGGAGGTAGCTTAGGGGTGCTGCACCTGACTTGCAAGCCAAGGTCTTGAGTTTGATCCCCAGTACCAGAAAAACAAAAAAAAAAACAAATCTGTTAGATTTCCCTCGCCTTAAGATGGTTGTTACCCCACTTCCCATAATGCCTTGCTTCTCATCTAAAAAGATGATTTCTCCCACCTAGCAAAGGACAGCCTTCTTCTTCCTGTGATGCCTCTTCTCCTGCCAAAAAGTAAGCAGATACTTGCCACCTACTAGTAACCAGTGATGTCACAAGCCCCCCGGTGATGTCACAGGCTCCTCCAATCCCTTAATACTACCTCATTTAACTCCACCCCATCCTATAAAAGATTTCTGTTTTGCCATATTGCACTCTCTCCTTTGATCGGAGATAGCCCAGCAGATTAGCCCTACAATAAAGGCTTGTAGTGGTTCTGGTCTTCATTTTTGTCCTTTTTTACCTGACAAAAACAAACCTCCCAATGCTTGAGTATTAATAATAAAGTTTAAAAATGCTTTTATATCAAAAAATAAAGGAGGTAATTAAGGCTTAAGAGTAGTACAGCGGTGACTAAGGTCACACTCCTGACTTCAAACCCAGTTACACTGTGGACCACATGTGCAAACATCTGGATGGGAGCAAATCTCACTCTCATGTGGTAACCTGCTTGGAGACTTAACTACACTTTCACCTTTACCCTGAGATTGTCCTTCTAAAGTTTAAAGTAAGAAAAGGGAGTGTAGCCTGCATTGCAAAATGGAGCTTTTTGACAGGTCCCCTAAGTAGGACCCCTACCCAAGCAGACCCACTACCCAAATCCGCAGCAGAGATAAAAAGAAGCCAGTAGCCACCCTGCTGCTCTCTGCTTATCAGCCAGCCCCAGGCCCATCACCCAAAGGACTCTAAAAATTTCCACCCTCTTGACCAGTGCCCTCTCCCCTACCTAAAATTCCCGTATCAACCACAAGCACCCTCCTCTCTGTGCAATGGCCTTTCTGCCTTGGTCTATCTGCACCCAAATGGCAATAAACTTGTTACATGTTGCTTAGACTTTGTCTACCTCAGTGGTCTCAATCGTGCTTTGGTTTGACCTTACACTATTTTTTTTTTTTTTTTTGAGACAGTGTCTTGTTCTGTTATTCAGGTTGGCCTTGAACTTACTGTGTAACCCAGGCTGGCCTGGAACTCATGGCAATTCTCCTGCCTCAGCCTCCCAGAGTGATGGGATCACAGGCGTGCACCATCACTATGCTGGTCTCAAAATGGACCTTTAAAAGTTAAATTTTTTTTCCTTTGTATAGTCAAGGGGCTTCCAAACTTCCTCAAGCGTAGGGCATATATGGCTCCCCGACTTGTCCACCCAGAGGAATGGATAGAATGCACAGATCCTCCCAACCTGGAGTTCCAATTTCTTTCCCTTAGACAAGGTAGGAGGGGGTCAGGGTGAGGAAAAGATAGAATTAATTTGAAAACAGGCTTCTCCTAGGAAGCAGCTTTGAATAAATCCTTTTTTCTTTTACTCAAATTTTGATTTTGATTTTGGTTTGTGGCAAGAGGTCTGTAGAAAGTGAAAAAGCTGGTAATAGAAAACAAGTACAAAAAGATAGAGAGGTTGTTTAGTTTTGGCTTTTTTTTTTTTTTTGAGACAGGGTCTCCATCTGTAGGCCAGGCTGGCCCTCAACTCGTGGCGATCCGCCTGCTTCAGTCTCCCCAGTGCTGGGATTATAGGTGCCCACCACGACCAGCTCAATATAGGTTGTTAGTGGACCATGGGCCAAGATAACAACTATCTTTTGTTCTATTGAGTCAAATTATTTCCGTCTTACATCTGACCAAATCAGGATGTGTTAACAAAAGAAAGAAAACCAGCCAGCCTACAACTGTAAAGAATATATAAATGGGCTTTGCTGGCTTATATTTTACCCACAACACGTCACTCTTTCTAACCTTCTGAAACCAGCGAAATTCTACCCTCCTTGGATAAGCGGCAAGGAGACAAGAGATGGCTTGAAGACAAGCACAGTGCTCAGTAAAACCTGTAAGGTAGGTATCCCAGAGGTACTGAAAGAGGTGCCCCAAAAATATCCACTGTGGATCTCAAGAGAAGGCCACTGGACTTGTGGCGCCCGGGGTGCAAAGACAGACAGACATTAGGCCTTGGGAAGAGACTCCACACCGCTGGCCCGTCCAACAGACCACAGCAGAGAGATGGACGCCTTCGGATCAGCGGTGGGCACCTAAGTCTGACCCGGGAGGTGGCGCCGGGAGCCAAGGCAGGAGGGCAGCGGAGGACAAGCTCTGGGTCCCGGGTGGGGAAGGGGGAGGGGA